GCAGAACGAGTGGCGCCGGTGGGTCGACGAGTCCCTGGCGAACGCGCAGGGCCGCCTGTACAGGTGGATCCGCGGCGGTGGCACGCTGGACGCGGAGCTCGTGCCTGACCCCGCGGCCAATGCAGCGGCGCCGAACTCTCCTGGGCGGCGGTCCTGGCTGCTTGCATTGCGCGGCGGGCCCGCCGCTAGGCTCCGCTTCTACGAGGGGCCCTGGAGGCAGCTCTGGCAGCGACAGGCGGCCCCTCCACTCGGCGAGGTCTGGCTGCAGGAGCTGGGCGGCCTGCCACCCTTCCCGCCCAGGCAGCAGCGGGCAGCTGCTGGCGTCGAGTGGCTGCTTCGCCGCATGCCCAAGCGGAAGAAGCCGGGGCTCGATGTTTGGACGGTGGCGGAGCTGCGCCTCCTGCCTCAGGAGCTGCTGGGCTGGGTGGCCGACTTCTTCGAAGCCGTGGAGGCCGTCGGCGAGTGGCCAAGCGAGCTGGTAGAGCCAGAGGGGCTCCTTCTGCCGAAGCCTGGCGGGGGGGCGGGGCCCTTGGACAGGCGGCCTATATGGCTGCTGCCGATCATGCATCGCTTGTGGGCGGCGGGGCGGGCCCGTGACTTCGCGCGCTGGCGGCTGAGCTGGGCGGGGGAGGACGTCCAATTGGGGGCTGAAGAGCTCGCCTGGGAGCTCGCCTTGGAATTGGAAGCAGCAGAGGCGATGTCCGAATCCATCGCAGGAGCCGCACTCGACTGGTGCAAGGCATACGACCAGGTGAACTTGGCGTCGCTGCCGGGCCTGCTGCGGCGGGCGGGGCTGCCAGACTGGCTTGTGAAGCCGGCTCTCAGCGCCTACCCTGCTCGCCGGCGGATTCGCGTCGGGCGCGCAATCGGCTCGCCGTGGTCACCCAGCTCTGGTCTACTCCCAGGGTGCGCTCTAGCCGTGCTCTTCCTCAGCGTCCGTCATGACGCTCCGATGGCGCCGGCGAACTGGGGCCTTGGAGCCAAGGCTCCGCTGGCGCATCTATGTAGACGACTTCACGCCGTGGATGCGCGCGCCGGCCGAGGAGACGGGCGAAGCGGCAGCGGCCGTCCAGGGCGCCCTGGCCGTGACGCTGGATTTCGAGACCGCCATGGGCTGGGAGCTCAACCGGAGGAAAAGCCAGCAGTTCGCCAACGCAGGCGAGGTGCGACGCTGGCTTGCCGCGCAGACTCCGGCGGCGGCGGCCAGCACCACCGTCTGGGACCTCGGGGTGGTTGCCGTCGCCGGCGAGGCCAGGCGCAGCGCCGTGGCGGGAGGGCGGATGGCTGACGCCAGGAACCGCTTTGCCCGCATCGCTCGCCTGCCCGTCAGCTTCGGCCGCCGGTGCATGCTGGGCGCGGCGGCGGGCACGGCTGCCGGTCTGTACGGCGCAGCGTGCGGGCGTCCGCCTGAGAGCGAGCTGCGAGGGCTCCGTGCAGCTGCCCGGCACGCAGTATGCCGCCGCGGCGGCTTCCGGGCGGCCGCGGAAGTCGTTTTCGGCGTGCTGAGCCACAGCTGGCGCCTCGACCCCGCTGCCGTGGCGACCATCGCCCCGCTCTGGCACATCGCGAAGGCGATCCGCCGCGGTCGCTTCCCAACGCAGCTGTGGCGCAGCGCAGCCGGCGCCATCGCGGCGGGGCACGGGCGGCAGAACGGGCCGATCTCGGCGGCCGTGCGCAGCCTCGCGGAGCTACGGCTGGGGCACGATGTCGAGAGCTGGACTGGCGTCCAGGCCGCGCCAGCGGGGTGGCGGCCCGCGGAGCACTCGCTGCAGGCAACGCGCGGCGTGCTGCTGGCGGCTTGGGCCCGCCGCGAAGCAGCGGCAGTCGCCGCCCGCCGGGGCGACATGGCGCACCTCGCCGGCGGGGTGGACCGATGGGCCACGCGCAGGCTCCTCGAGGAAGGGCAGCTCGCGCCCGACTTGGCGGGCGCGCTGCGCGCGGTGCTCGCTGGCGGCGTCGTCACGCAAACGAGGGCGGCGAAGTGGGGCAAACCGAAGCTGTGCCCTCACTGCCGGACGGCCGACGAGGACCCGGAGCACCGTTTCTGGCGGTGTCCGTGCTGGCAGGAGGCGCGGGCGGCTGCTCTGCGGGGCACTGGCTTTCGCTTGGAGGGCCTCCGCGCGGCTCTGCCCCCTGGCACGGATTGCACTGGCGTCCTCCCGGAGGAGCCCGTTCTCCGCGGGCTGGCCGAGTGCGCCCGCGCGCCCATTCAGCCCCCGCCGCTGCCCGCCGGGCTGCTGGCCCCACCGGGCCCGCCGCGTCGCCGAGCGTGGACAGACCGAGCTTGCGAGCGGCCGACCGACCCGCTCTTGGCCAGGGCAGGATGGGGGGTACGGCTCGACGGCCCTGCCGGCCCTCAGGACAGCAGCGGGGCGGTCGACGGGCCCCAGACGGCGCAGAGGGCGGAGCTGACGGCTGCCCTGCACGCGGTGAGCCTCGCCGCAGGCCCCGTCGAGGTGATAACCGACTCGCAATTCGTCAGCAACGGGGTCGCGGCGCTCCGGGCGGGGGCGTCCCCGGCGGAGTGGTCGCACGCCGAGATCTGGGAGTTGCTGGCGCCGTACTGCCAGATTGGGCACCTGGAAGCGAGATGGATCAAAGGGCATCTCGACGCGGCCAGCGCCAGGGCCCGAGGCATGGTTGAGGAGGACCGCCTTGGGAACGCCGCCGCTGACCGGCTGGCGGGCGCAGCCGCGCGCGCGCGGCTCCCGCCGCCCGCCCTGCTCGCTGGGCGGGACAACCGACTGCGCGCCCTGGGCATCGCACAGCGGATGCTGGCAGAGGTGGAGCTGGCGGCGCTGAAAGTGAACCACAGCGCCAGCGGCGTGGCCCCTCGGGCGGGCAGACCGCAGCGCCGGCGCCGTGGCCGGCGGGGCGTGCTCGGCGCGCAGCCAGGGGGGCCGCCGCCGCGGGGCCCTACGGCCGGAGCTGCCTCAGCAGCACCGGCGCCGCCAGGCACTGCGGGCGGCGGCGGCAGCAGGGCCCGCTGCGCCGCTCTGTTCGCGGGGCAGGCTTGGCAGCTGCACGCCGCCGCGCAGGGCCCCGGCTGGGTGGCCTGCCTGCGCTGCGGGGCCTCCGCGCCCGCGTGGCCGCGACTGGCGGCGACGCCGTGCGCGGGCTGGGCCGCCGCGCTGCCGCCGCGGGCGGCAGCCTTGCTGCTCCTGCCCACGGTCCCGGCTGGCGGCCGCGAGGCCGACTGGCGCGCGGCGCTGCGCGGGCGCCTGGTGCAGCGCCCGGGGCCGCCGGGCTAGCGGCCTGCGCATGGGCCGCGTGCCGCCCCGGCCCCCCCCCCCTCCTCGACTGCTGCTCTCTGCCGCTGGGCTTCTTCGATGGGTAAAAAAAGTATGCCCCTGCCGCGGGGACCGGGTGAAGAGGCACATTAATGCACTCCGCGACAAGGCTTTCTTCGCCGCGCAGGCAGCCTGCTTCCCTGGCGCCGAGCTCGAGCGGCCGGGTTTGCTGCAGCGCCTCGAGCCAGGGAAGGCGCCGAGCTTGACGAAAGGAGCCCAAGGGTTCACCTCCAGGCTTCGGGGCGACCTCCTTGCAGCCTCGGCAGCCGCGCCGGGCGCCGCCGCCGAGCGCTACAAGGAGCAGAAGCGCCAGTTCTTCGACATGGCGCGCAGCTGCAGCGCGTCCGGCATCACCTTCATCCCCAAGGCGATGGAGGCGCACGGCGGCGCCTTGCTCCGCTGGCGGCCATCCCCAGACAGGGCGCTCGCAGACTGGCTCGCCGCGGCGACGGCGGCGAGCGCGGCAGACGCCGCGTGAGCGGCCGCCCTGCTGCCCCCGACGTCTCCCGCCCCCCCCGCCCTCGCCCCCGCCACCGCCGACGACCCTGCCAGCCCCGGCTGGCGCCCAGCGAACCCTGCTATGACGGCCTTCAAAGCCATATATCCACGACGACCCCGACGACCCCCCCCAACCCGCGACCCACGACGACCTCCCGACTGCCGCCGATGCCCTTTGCTCCCTCCTGCCCCCCGCCCGCCCCCAACATGCGAGCTTGCCTGCTGCTGCTTGTGCCTCTCCCCATTCCTCCTGCATGTTGGCGTTTGCTCGCCGTTATGTTCCTATTCCCCCTCCTCCTCCTCCTCCTCCTCCTCCCTCCTCCTCCTCCTCCTCCTCCTCCTCCTCGCTCCTCCTCCTCGCTCCTCCTCCTCCTCGCTCCTCCTCCTCATTATCATCATTCTGCCCGTCCCTCCGCCAGAGCTGCAGGCGCGGCCAGCGAGCCCTGCGTCGAGGCGTGTTCGGGGCCGACGGGGCGGGCCGACGGGCGTTCGAGCGGGTGGCTTGCATAGCTCGCCCTGCCGCATGAACGCGGCAGCGGCGGCGAGGCCTCTTGGCCGTCTCGGAGGTGATTTGCGGAACTCTTCGGGTGGCTTGCGGGATCGGCCGCAGCCCTTGGAGGCCGTCTTCCAGCCTCCGGGCCTGGCACGCGCCCGCCGCCCTGGCAACGCGAAGGCGGCCGGGAACGACGATCGCAGGTTCGTTTTCCCCCCGGTGTGGGTCAGGGGCTGCGGTTTGCGGGCCAGAGGGAGTTTAAGCCGCACCCTGAGTGTCGTTGCTACTGGGCGCCATGGCATAGGGCCCCGGCTGCGAGTCGGCGGATTCACCACCGAGCCTAGAGAAGGTGCAATCGGAGATCTCGAATGCGAACTGTGCGGCTGCGACGGGCTGCCTCGTGGAAACAAAATCCTATCACGTCGGGCCCTGGCCGTTCTTCCTACTCCGGCGGAGGGAGGACAGCACGCTGATCAAAGGCGCTCCGACATCGCTTACCTTACGAGCCAATGCTTGGTATGCAAGCATACAGGGCAGTCTTTTAATGCATAGGATTTTCAAAACAAAAAACATATAGGAGTTTGAATGCATGATCAATGTATGAGCACAGTATGCATGAACGCATCGTTGTTTAAAGTACCAAATCCTTGCATTTCTAATACATGACCCGCACGCGGAGCATGTCTAAAAAACGGCACTGTACACTTCAAGATCCTTAGGCAGCCGCGCGACACCCTCGCAACGCATATCGTGACGGGCGGTGTCGAGTCGACGCTCCGCCCAGCAGCCACGCCCGAGTCGGAACGGGCACTCGCGCTCGTCCGCTCTGCTCCGCTCTGGGGTCATTTTTTGGGGCGCCCGAAATGGGTACGGAAAAAATGGGTACAATGCCCAACAACAAATGTTGTCCCAAACCAACAGCGGCCGCTGTTGGGCAGGCGGCCTTCTGTCTCGAATGGATACATGCCGCGGCGGCGTGGACAGCGAATCCTGTTCAAAATGATCAGGAACTGCTGTTGGGTATTGTACCAATTCTTTCCGTACCCATTTCGGGCGTCCAGAATTTTAAAAGTTTCGGAAACATGCGGGCGCACCTAGCGGGGCACTCCCCGAAGCCGTTGCCCGAGGTCCTGTCGAACCTGCAGCCCACACCGTACCAGCATCGCGATGGGCTCGCTGGTCGACAAGGGTCCCCGCGGCCATGGAGCTCGAGGGGGGCAACGGCAAAGGAGGCCGACCGAAACGAGGCGCCACCGCTGCCGGTGCAGCAACACGAGGGCTAGCAGCACGATGACCGCAGCGCAACTCCGAACGCACGGTCTCCGAGAAGCGAGCCGAGCTGGAGAAGACGGATGTCGAAACGCTGCGCACGGTGGCACTACTCCTGACTAGAATGGTCCTCGACCTCTCTCCTCGCCAGCGCCAGTTGGAGGCGGTCAGCATGGTCATGGCGTCCATGGGCGCGAGCAACAGACCGATGGTCAAAGCAAGGTGAGCGAATTCAAGGAATGAATCGGAAAAAGGCAACGGAGATGCAGCAGCGCAACGAGGACGAGGACTTCGTGACCAAGCTGAACACCATCTCGTGCGCCGCGCTCGTGGGCATTATCGGAAACGCCGAAGCAGAATGGGTGTCCGCTGGACAGAGGAACGCGTACCTGGACAACGGCCTTCTCCAGATACGGCGGACCCCTGTGGCACTGTCGTTTGTTGGCTCCTCGGCGGGCAGTTGCCCCTCGTGGTCGGCCGCCGACAACAGTGCACATTGGAGCAGGGACGGGCCACGGGAGCGCAGGACGCTCCTGGAAAATGGGCCCCCTCGTCGATTCCACCGGTCGGTCCCTTCTAGGGCTCCCAACTTCGCGCTTCGCGCTGCGCGAAGCGCGAAGCGCGAATAACTTCGCGCTCTCGCGCCGCCCTCCCAAAGGGAGAAAAGGAGGACGAGGAGGAGGGGGAGAAGGAACGAGGACCGCGAAGCGCGAAGCGCGAATAACTTCGCACCCTCGTGGGAGCCCTTGTCCCTTGGCAGGCGACCGCCTTTAAATGCTTGGCCGTCGAGGCCGTGCGCCCCGGCGCAGCGGCGCACACTGGGCAGTCCTGGGGATGACGGTGCCTCGGTCGAGCGACGCCCTCCGTCGACAACGACGGGCACCGGCGCACGAGAGCCGCCAGCACGAGCTGGGTGATTAAGCGCCGTCGCGCCGTTCCCCTGGAGCCTGACCCCCAGGCTCCTCCTATTCCTCCCTGTCCACAGAAAAACGAATACCCCTCCCGACCCCAAACAGATGCGTTCCGAATCGCGGGCTCGTTGCCTCTCTCTCTCCCTCTCTCGAGTGCGGCGTCGAGCCGCGTCACTCCGAACTCCCGAACTGCTCAAAGGGGTTGGAGAAATCCACGCGGCCGTCCTGCTGCATCCCCGTCTCCCACCGCTTGTCCATATGATATCCTCGCCTCTCGTCTCTCACCCCCCGTGCTCTGCGGGGGGGCGGCGGTTGGCTGAATGGTGAAGGCTCAGAAGACCATGGTGTCAATGCCGTGGGTTAGAGGCCCAGGCTCTTGGCTGTTCGGCCGATCGCAGGGCGAAGTCGCATCACCCTCGGCGACTTGCCCAATGATGTGCTTGCTGTTGTTGACCTCCTGCTTCTCCTCCTCCTCCTCGATCTCCTCGTCCTCGTCCTCGTCCTCGTCCTCCTCCTCCTCCTCCTCCTCCTCCTCCTCCTGGCGTGGCGCAATAGGCCTGTGCGCTTGCCACCCTCTAAACCTCCCTGGGACGGCGAGCGTAGCTGATCGGTGGCGCGGTGAAGCGTCACGCTGAGCTGCCCCGCAACCCTGCGCCAGGACGCCGGCAGCCGCCTCCGCTGCGGGGCCGCCTCGCGCCAGCTAGCGGAGGTGACGTCGCGCTCCTCCTCAGATCCCCCCCTCCCCCTCCTCCTCCAGACCCTCTGTGTCCCCCCCCGCTCTCCTTCCCTAGCCGTGTCGGCCCAAGCACGCTGCTGGGCTTGCCCGGGTATCCCTTCGACTCGGCTCGGTCGGGCGGGCAGCCAATGGCGGCGAAGCGTGCCACGTGGCACAACACAGCGCTCACCAGCTATGCCTGCCGCGAGACTTGCTTGCGGCGCGGGCAGCAGGCGCCCAAGGGGGCGCTGGCCAAGCAGAAGCAACATCGCGGCAACCAAGGAGGTGGACAGAAACGGGCTCCGCGGGAGAAGATGGGGAGGAAGAATGGCCCATCCAAGTCACTACCATGCCCAGATGAGCCGGAGTCACCACCTGCGCCAGTCATGCAGCCAGCAACAGCGTAAGCAATGTGCGGCACCAAGTCCAGGGCGCGTGGAGGCGATCGAACACCATGGCCAGAGCAGGCACAAGCGATGGCTGCACTGTGAGGCCAGGCAGCGGAGCAGACCGAGGCACCGGGCGACGAGCCCGCGGACCTGAGATACCCCCAGCCGTTCAGATCGAGCACTGCCTGTCGGACTCTGACAAAAGGATCGAGAAGTCAAAGCAGAGACTCTGAGAGCGCGGGAGGAGGAGTTGGACCAAGTTCGAGAGAACAGGACTGCAGAGCAGCGAATCCTGGACTCCAGAAGCAAACGAGCAAACATGAGCTGAAGCAGGTCAACGCGAACGCACGCCTTCCTGCGCGAGCCACCAGGCAGCGATACCAATACAGCCATCGCGCTCTCTTGGAAGATCGCGAAGATCCAGAAGCCCATCGGCAAGGGAGATGCTCATGAAGCGCTGCAAGGAAAGACGCTAGCACTGGAGCAGTCTTTTGAAGCATTCACGCAGCGGCTGGAGATTGAGACCATGTGGCTCAGGTTGCTCGAGAACCTCCTGCAGCTCAGCCAGAGCCTGAGCGCGATGATGATGACGCACCTTAGGGCCTATGGCACAAGCCGTCGACATCCCAACACCAGACGACGACGAAGACTTTGCTGACTTGCTCGAGGAACACCCGTGTCAAGCTGGACGGGATTATCGACGAGGCAGAGATTCAGCACATCAACGAGGCGCGCGAGCGACTCCGTGACGCACTGGTCGCGGCGGAAGACACAGACAAGACACGAAAGGTAGAGCCCCCGGCTGCGACCACCACGGCGTGAGCTGCCGGGACCAAGCTGAAGCTGTGGGGGCAGTCTTCTCAGCAGATAGCAGGCGCGGCGATGCCTGCGAACATGGCGCAGAGGTTTCCAACGGGAGTGCGTCGGCGGGGGGATCGGCGTCGACGACCGTTCTCCTGCAGAATGCGGGCGAAAGCGACAGACAGCATAGAAGGTGTGCCAAGCAGACCCTGAAGCCCTGAGAGCACGAGATAACCACCACGAGATTTCGACCGAGGAAGACAGTTACTGCTATCAACAAGTCAGCACAATGAAAGGCCACCACGCTCTCGACCGTCGCGAAGGAGGCAGATGAGCAGGAGGTCGACGATGACGCACTCCTCGCCAAGGAGCACAAGAGGCTCAAACCAATCACCGGCGATGCGGTGGCTAGGCTCAAGCCGTAAAGATGGCACTGCCGTGACGTGCACCTCCATCAGCAACGAGCGAGGGGGAGAAGCGAGAAGGAGGGGGCCTTCTCAGGAGGCCCCCTCCGAAGGCGGATGGGGCCTCTTCCAGGCCCTCGGGGCCTCTAGAGAAGCTCCCCGTACCTCCGGGGAGGGCATCGACAGCTCCTCAGAGGGCCTGAGGCCTTCCGGGCCTGCGGAGAAGGCCACCTCCCGCTGGCTTCTCCCCCCCTCCCCCCGCGCGCGCTCGCCGCCGATCCAGTCAGGGAGGGGGGCGACTCAGCACGGCGTGGCTTCTGGAGTGGCCGAGGGGGTCGGACGGGAGACTGGCTCACCAGGCCCTGCCGACCCGTGAGGCGGGCGGCCCACGGGGTCGGGATGGTCTGTGCAGCGGACAGGGGGGAATGCTGCCAAAGGGCTTAGGCTGGGATCCTCCTCCTCCTCCTCCTCCTTGCCCTCCTCCTCCTCGTCCTACTCGTCCATCCGTCCATCCGTCCATCCATCCATCCGCCATCCGCCTGCTCCTCCTCCGTTTCCTACAGGAGGGCGTGGAGGAAATTAACAGGAAGTTGGCACTGCAGTGAATGGCGCAGCTCAAAAGAATTGGACAAGCCCCCATCCCTGGAGGAGGTAGGAGCATGAGAGCAATCGAGCTTGAGGGGTTTAATTTGGTGAGCGATCTGCTGTCAGCCATTGTGGCACCCTTCGAGTGGACTTGTTCAGCTGGACGTGGTTGCAGATTTGACTACTTTGTGCTTTCCATACTGCGAGAGTTCCAAACACTGTAAGACCCTGGCCACTGGGATTAAGCGGCTCTAGGGACTAAAGCATTGCGACATGCTGGGAGGGGAGGATCGAGTTGGAAGTACAACCCGGGGCAGCGATGAAACGGCAGCGCAGAATTCCAAAGTGGTGCCCGAAGGAATGGCCAACGGGGGCAGCTCGGCCACCGCCTTCGCGAAAACAGGTTATTCGCATCAGCGAGTTGTTCGTGATCTTGATTGGTGCTTGAGAAGTGGATGGGTTTAGTCGATTGGGAAACATTTCCAACTTACGTGTGTCTCAGGAGGATAGCGACAGGCGAGCGTGGCAAGCTGACAGATCCAATGTTCAAATTTGTTGCAACGGCAAGGTAGGCACCTGGAAGAGGCGGTGACGCGGATTGTGTGGTGGCGCTGCTGCACCAGGGCGTCGATTGCGTGACTGGACCGTCTGCATTCTATGAGGAGGCAATGGGCTGGCGACTCGCAGCTCGTTCAGCTGAGATTACGCACGATCGTCAACCTGGAGAAAAAGAAGGACCCACCGATGGGAGAAGTGGGACCGGTACTAGTGTCCTACAGACTGCAATATAAATCGAGATGGTGAAGATGGGTGACTTCGATTTTGCAGCTGGACGGCGGCACAGGAGGCGGCACAAGTGGAGCAGCTTTACATCAGATAGCTTGTCAAAGAGTGGAGGCAGTCACTCGCGAAGGCGACCGAGACGGAGGATACGACGGCGCATCGCTGGAACGGCTGCCACCAGTATGGAATCACACAGAAGTACATCCAGTCATGGGGATCAAATCACACGCGACCACGACCGAAACGGACTTAAAGCAGTCGCAGCAAATATGGAGAGGGGTTCCGAATGAGAAGTCGTTTGAAGAAAGTCTACGACTGGTAGGCATTGGATGTGAGCCTGCACCTGAACCCTTGGAAGCTGAGATCGATCGCAAGATCGCTCTCCCGTTCAACACAAAGACGCTCCCGAACATCAAGAATATTGATCCAAAGACCCTGGTATTACTGTCTAACGAGTGTCCCAATGCTCTTGGAGAGGCGATTGCGCTGGCATATTGTCGTGATGTCCACGCAAATGACTACGACGATCTTCCTCAAGCTTCCTAATCCAGAAGGGGGTCACAGGCTGATTGGGCCATAACGGACACGCTCATGGTTCTACAAGAGGTACCGCCAAGCAGTTCAGAGACAACTACTTCGAGACAGTGCGAAGAACTACAAGCATGCACGGCAGGGAGGAGTTCAGAACGGGCAATCTGGACGGAATCGCTGATGGCAAAAGCTGGGCGAGTCATGATGAGAAATACGGTGGCGGTGATGCTGGGCCCCAAAGAGGCGTTCGAGAAGATTGCACATGGGACCTTGTGGGGTCTGGATTGCCACCACATGTTTCTCAGCAGGAGGTTCTTTTCTTATCAATTATAAGGCATGCAGGAGGAGCTCCAAGTTTACTACCATGGTTTCAAGATTTGCTCGAAGCGATCATGATGTCATAGCTAGGGGCTCCACAATGATGAGCCTGTTCACGCTGGGGGCCTACGACCAGGTCTAAACCCTGTGGCCATTCCCGTCCATTGCGGAGGTGGTCGATGATGGATCGCTGCAGACATCTGGTGTGGAGGTGCAGGTGGTGTGTATCATACTGCGGCTGTCAGGAGGGTGTGGGAATTGCGGACGCAAAAAAGCTTGGGAGCTGAGTCCGCACAAAACCTGGCTCATCGCAACAGCTCGAAAATGGCAGAGGAAAGGGAGGCGGACCTGAGGCACTTAATCCGCCGGCCCCCTTGCGGGGCCATCAGGCCGCGAGGATTCGGTTCGTTGCTCCCTGCACCAGTTCCAGCTTCCAGTTTCCAATGTTACAATATTGCTTTCTGCTTCCTACTGTGTAGTGGTACTGTCCGCGCGAGGGGGGGAGCCGAAAAGGATCC